CTTCTTCTTCTTCTTCTTCTTTTCTTCTTCTTCTTCTTCTTCTTCTTCTTCTTCTTCTTCTTCTTCTTCTTCTTCTTCTTCTTCTTCTTCTTCTTCTTTCTTTTTTGTCATAAGGCTTGAACTCTGGGCCTAGCTGCTGTCCCTCAGCTCTTCAGCTCAAGGCCAGCACTCTACCACCGGAGCCACAGCACCACTTCTGGTTTTCGGAGTGGTTTATTGTAGATAAGAGTCTCATGGAGTTTCTTGACTGGGCTGGCTTTGAACCATGATCCTCAGATCTCAGCCTCCTGAGTAGCTAGGATTATAGGTATGAACCACCAACACCCAGCTGGTTATTTTTTTTATTTTTAGATTTTTTGCTGGTTCAGTCTTATGGATGTTTTGCTCAGCTGACATCAAATCAAGATCCTCAGACCTCAGCCTCCTGAATATCGAGGATTACAGACCTGAGCCACCAGTGTCTGGCTAGCATGCTTCTTTAATACCTGGTTTTACCTTCTATTATGTCTTTCAACAACCAATGTACAAATTATATGAGTCCAGGAATTATTCCCCCCGGTACTGGGGTTTGAACTCATAGCCTAACACTTTCTTGACTTGCTTGCTTGGCTGGTGCTCTGTCACTTGAACCATACTTCCAGATCCACTTTTTGCTATTTTGGAGATGAGAGTTCTCATGAACTTTTCTACCCAGGCTGGCTTTAAACCATGATTCTCTGGATCTCAGCCTGTCGAGTAGTTAGGAGTATAGGTGTGAACTACCAGTGCCTAGAGAGTCCAGGGATCTTGTTCCATTTTTTCCCAGCACCAAGGACAGTTCCTAGCACCTGCAGGTGAAATTTATCACATGATAAAAGAGCTTGCTCTCAGCCTTTGAACTTGAGCCCCTTTCTAAGCATTGATTCCAGGGCAGCAGTTACCTTCAGAGTCATCTATTGCTTCTACAGTCACTCTGGGAGTACTTTCCTCTGCCTGGGCCTCACTTTACCCATTTGTTCTAAGATATTGATGCTGTGAGCCGCAGGCACATAAATCACGGATGATGAACAGAAGCATGCGCTTCTTCCAGCAGGTGGCACTATTTCCCTTTGAATTTTCTGCCCCCTCAGCTCTGGATTGTTGGTCAGAATCATCAATGTCAGGCATCACCCACCAAGACTTCCAAATGACGCAGAGAGGAGGGGAATGTCTCCCTGTTTTCCCACAGAATTTGAATTT